CAGCCGGGGACCAGGAGGATGAGCGCTGGATTAGAATGGGGACGCTCTTCCTCGGGAACACCCGAGAATTTTAGAATGGGGACGCTCTTCCTCGGGAACACCCGAGAATTCTCAGGGAAACGGAAAATTATTCCAAGAACACCGGGGGAACCCTCACTCCCATTTCCGCTAGGTCTCGGTCTTTACTTTCGTTTTCTTTCATCTCCGCTCTGCCCCCCGCGCACGAGGATGAGGGGAGTCGAAGGGGTCTTGGGGAACGGTCGAGATTGCGACTGACGCGGTTTAAATGCGTTTGGCGGCTTCATAATTGGTTAATTATAAGAAACCATAAATTGAAACTTTTTTCGTGAATCGAGAATTTGTGAAGATTCATACGATAATTTTAACTCTCAACATTTCTCAATTAATTTTTTTAATCAGGACGATTTTTTGAGAAAACGAACCACTCAAAACAATTGTAATTAAAAAATTTTTGTTTTTGCTTTTTTATGAATTTTTAGAATAAAAAAATTGTTGAAGGGAATTTAATAATCTTCAGATTAAATTTCGATCAACCCTAAATTTCCGAATATATTGGAACAATTTCATCATTTTAATTTTAAAAGTTGTAAAATTAAAGTTCTATTCCTTTATGAATTTTTGTGGATTTGAACAAAAAAAATCCTCAAGCCCCATTCGTCCCTAAAATATCAAATACTATACAATAATTGAATTCTTCACACTTGGCTTCTAAATTAAATTTCTCATTAAAAAAAAAGTAAAAAAATCTGCAAAAAATTCCCATTTCTTCCTAAACAATTTTTTTAAAAATGTATTTCTAATCGACAACGTAGTCATTAGCGACTATTTACAAAATAAACAAAAACATTACCTTATAATGAAACATAAATATGAGAAAAAAATTAAAAAATGAAATGAAAATATACATGATATAACCAATGAATTCGGAACCCTAAAAATCATGTCTTCGAATAAATAAAAATCGACTTTTCTGAAACGTTCGCGACCGCAAGAGGTGCGTTTTAAAGGCGTTTGGCGCTTTGACATTTCCCTCTGGGCGGCGAAGAGGAGGGCTGGGAGAGGAATAAAAAGTTATAACCCCGCAGTCTTACGATGCAACACATCATGGACGGAGGGTTTTTCTACGTCAGTAAGAGGGC